TTAGTGCTAACCACTAGAAACATACGTTCTGTGCATACTGCAGAAATTGTACATTATGCAAGTACACTAATGGGACTAAAAAGCTTTTTCCCAAGAAACTCCACTTTTTCTTTTCTTTTTTATTACACACACGGATTTTTGCTTGTTTTGCAAAAGAAATTTTTTTAAAAACACTAAACTCTTCATAAAAGCAGCTTATTTTATATATATATATAAACTATTACAAGTTAAGACCAAGCATGTATTCTAGGAAAAGTCTTTCATGTAGTTAGATTTACTTTTCGGGTAAGTTTAATGACAATCTAAATGATCAGTGGTACTCCATACAAGCTTAGGTTAAAAATATTAAGATGGTTCCTCTCAGACAGCTTAAGCACTCACTGACACTCTCAGAACTACTTTTCAACTTTTCATTTTGAAATACTTTCCGAATGCATACTCACTTTGATTTTGATTTTAATAGAAGATATTTAAAAATAAATACAACATAAACCTTTTTTTTAATACTCAGACATTTCTGCAGGCACAAAATCAATTTTTAACCATTTCAGTAAAAAAAAGCAGAAGGAAAAAGAAAATCTGGTTGATCCTGACCTATTTTTCAATCTTTTTTTTTTCCTGCCATAGCCACCACCCAAGCTAGTTATCTGGCACACAGGCATACCACTAGTCCCATCCCGCTACTTTCTAATTGGGACTGTCAAAAATGATGGCACTAAGACCACAGGCTTTTTGGAAGGATGAGTCACCTCTGAAGTGTCTAAATACTCCATCCACAGCTCCAGAGCTCATTTGTGCCTCTTGGCTAGAGACGAAGCTGTGGCCAGGGAGGAATTGCAATGTACAGTCTCAAAATGCACAGGAGGCTCGTTCTCCCACTGCCACTCTGGATTCTTCCTGAAACAAACGTTGTAACTCCATCTCCACAGTACTCCCTAAACCCCCTAGCAATTCTGCAGTCTGTGCACCTCCGCTGCTTTGCTCTCTCTCAGGCAGCTACTAAGCTGCTCCCTTGCTACCTCCACCTTCAATTTCTCCTCCACATCTGGAGCACTATTTCACAGGCACAGCAAAAACAACAGGATTAGGAGTAATTCCACCAAGCAATCAGGAGAGGTCAAAGTGCTGGGCATCAGCTGTCACTCCCAGGCTGCACTGACACCCTAGCAGGAGCCCACTGGGAGCCAATACCACCTACTGCTCCAAGCAGCTCCAGCCCACAGGGTCAAATGCTCTCCAGAGGTCAAAGGCAAAGGTTCAACAGAAATGCCTGACTGAGCCAAATGCATCACACTTGGAATTTTCCTAGCAGTTGATACCCATCAACTCTAAGCAAAGTATGCCGTGCCATAGGAAAAGGCTGGAAAATGTCCTCTTCCTGGCTAATTTCATTCCATACTAGTATTTTATGGATTTCCCTTCTCGTAGACAATCACTGGGCATCACATATTAAGAATGTGTGCTCCACTTGAGTACAGCAGTTTATTCTGGTGCAAATGTTCCTTAATGTGCCAGCTGCAAAACTGCATCCTCAAAGACCTTTCTCCAGAAGTCCTAAAAACCCAAGTACTAATAATGAAATACACATGAAATTACTTTTTTTTTGTAGTCCAAGTCTACTTCCTTGAAGGAGAAAGCTAAAAATTTTGATAGCATCATTTGTGCACGTCACCTGACAGTACTGTCTCTTTATTTGTGCAAGACTTCTGCATTTCACAGAATATCCTGAGTTGGAAGGGGCCCACAAGGATCATCAAGTTCAACTCCTGGCCCTGCACAGAACCATCCCCAAGAGCCACACCAGGTGCCTGAGGGCACTGTCCAAACACTTCTTGAACTCTGTCAGGCTTGAAGCTCTGACCACTTCCCAGGGGAGCCTGTTCCAGTGGCCAACAAGAAAAGCTGAAAAACTTTTTGTCTAATATCCAACCTAAACCTCCCTACACAACTTCAGGCCATTCCCTTGGGTCCTGACTCATTATGCTGCTTTAGCAAGAACCTAAACCTTCAAAATTTGTAACTGCCAGTTGTGGCAACCAAAATCACCTGGATTAAGGGGCAGCAGTACAAAAAAAAACGCAAAACAAAAACAAACAAACAAAAATCCAAAAACAAACAAAAAAAAACTAACCTCCAAACACAACAACAAAACCTTTTCTTGTCAACACCTGTCATTGACTGTTATGAAAGGCATCTTTTTACTCCTAGCTTTCAAGTGTAAGAAAAGGTTTTTAAGGAAACTCGAAGCTTTTTGACAGGCTAGTACAAATACACATGACTTTAATTCTGTTAAAGTCTGTGTCCTGAAGCAGTACTCAAGTGTCTACTATGCTGCATTTCTTATTTCAGAATCTGATCCAGAGACACACAAAACAGCATGAAGCAACCTGTGGGAGCATCCAAGCAATCAGAATAGCAGGAATCGTAGGGTGGAAATTAAGGAGTTGACAATGATCTTCTCCTCACTCAGGGCAGCTGCAAACCTATGGACCTAATCAAGCATTTCTCATTCACCTCTGAAATAGCTCTTCACAAAAATTACTATTTTTACAATGTCTTTTACCTCCATGCAAATTTCTCTATTTGTTAAAGCTAAACCTAAGGCAGAAACTGTAAGACCACATTCATCTCCCTTGTGCACTTGCCACAAGAGCAGCAAACCAAGAAGACCACCCCAAAAGGAAGATCTTACGATGCACATGCACAGGAAGTCCGTTAACAGACTGTTAATACTTTACTGCTCTTGTTGTGTTTGGTTTTTTCAAAGTAGGTTAACAAGCTCCCAAGGAACCCACTAACCTAGATTAAAAACTGAATAAAACAATGTTTTGGAAAGAGACTTTCTCCTTTATGCACCAAGATTATGAACTCCCTATACTTCCCTCATCTCTGGGGAAATTTCTGATTTCTCTATCTCCTTTAACTTCTGCTTATCCCGTACATTAAGGTGCTTTGCTTCTTGGGGCTTCACAGCAAATTACAGTAGCTTCAGCTGATTTCCCCAGGGCATGCAGTCAGACAATGAGATGAAGATGCTGCAAGCTTCAGGTTTTGCTGCTACAGGAAAAGGAAATCCCCATGATTTCACCATATAGCTATGTAAGCTACAGGAATGAAAATTAATCCAGAAATAAACTAAGAAATTCTAAGCTTTCCAATGTACCTTTGCTGCCTCTTCTTCATGAAGTCCACACTATAACATTCCTTCAGTTTGTAAAGCACACACAGGTCTATGTACGTGTTTACATACAGCAGCAAACCAAAATAGTTTAGAAGATGCACACAAGCCAGGATCTGTTCAGGCAAGTTTCCTGAAGCATTTCAGTATGACAATAGAAGGATGTTTCCACCATGCAAGTGAACCTCTACAAACTTCACTCCCAAAAAACAAATTCAGTTTTGAAAATGAATAATTAGTAGAAAAAAATTTAAGCACCTGAATGATGTAAAAAAAACTCCAGTCAAATCACTTTTTCCTCTCTGAGTCTCAAGAACTAATTATTTTCAATATTTTTATTATTGCCATAGTAGCCAATTACCCCATCCACCTCCAGAGAAAAATAGGCAAGTAGAGAAATTTTTTCTACCTAAATTACATCTCTCTGACTACTAAGGAAAGAATCAGAAACAAACTTAAGCACAGCACTAGAGACTGCTTCCTTCTGACTACCTCTCAATAAAGAAAGCATGCAGGTAATAAAGTTACACAGTAAAAATTCTGCATCCAAAACATAATAGCTCCCAGATGAAAAAAAAATCAGAAACTTCTGTATTTGTGCAGGGAAATGCAGCTTTCAGTAGTTTACCCTTCTTTTCACAAGCGGAGGTAAGAAAAAAAAATTCCCTCTGCAGGTAGGAATTGGGGCACTTAGGCAAGCACAAGTAATCAGCACCAGCTGTCAGCAGCCACAGTAATTCTCACATCCTGTTTCCAAACCATCTTTGTAATTCCCACGGAGATGAGGCACAGGAGGCTTAATGTGATGCTGGGCTCAGATGAGAAGGCTCCCAATGGGGCAGCAAGGGGAAAAGCCATGTGAAGAAGCATTGCAGTGCAGGACAGACCCATCATAACCATCCCGCTCCCGCTCCCCAGGCTTACTCCTTCTGCCCAGCTCAAGGCTTGTGTGTTATCAGATCTGTTTGCTCTCAGAACTAAGCTAAGGGCAAAGACTGGAGATAAATGAGAAAAGCATTTGTGGCTGACTGCTGCCATCAGAAAACGGTGCTGTTCCACATGTTTATATAAAGTCTTGTGATCTTTCTGGCTGGCATGGTACTGAAAGCTGTAACCACATTAACACATACCAAAGGAAGGAAGTGTTTCACTGGTAGATGTCCAAGCATTTTAACTTAGACGATCAGAGGAAACAAAATGCATATTTAAAAAATAATCTGTGATGGTATTTACCCAACCCTTCAAAACAGAAGGCCTGATATTAACAGAAACCGCAGAGCTGTGGCTATAGTTTTGAAGAGCTTCATTATTTATCTGATTTCAAGACATAAGGGTAGAATATTTATTGTTCCATAGCAACACATTAACAAACCTTTGGCTTTAAATCTCCCTCACCTCTTTCCTTGCCTTGGTGCAAATTAGCACTCCAAGACTGCTTACATTTACAAATTTTGTAATGGACCACTGTCCCTTGCCTTAAAAAATTAATTACAAAATATACAACAAAACAATTAATAAACATTTAATTTTTTGTGTGAAAGCAATGAGAAGTAAATTCATCTTAGAGACAGGATTAGGAGAAAGAGATGCAAGAAGGTATTTTGTACTTGCATATGCTGAGCACAGGTTTTTTGGTTTTCCTAATAAATCAATATTAACATTAAATTGAGAAAATTGTAAGACACAAGTAATAAAGAACTATTTCACATGCAGGAGAAAAAAGTAATGTTTTAGTAGTCTGCCCTAATTACACTTTGGTATTTCCTAAAGCAAAAACCAAAATTAACTTCAATGCTCTTGCTTCCATTTGAGTTTAGCTTACCTTTGCTCTTGTGGATGCTCTTCCACATCCTCCTCCGAATCACCCTGACAAACAGAGAAAATACTGTGTAAGAATCTCAGAACTGCAACATGCTACACTGGACATATATACCACTTTAACTCCACCACAGATGGATTTTCATGTGACTTGTTAGCAAAACAAATTCAGAAACTTAAAATTCCTTTAACTCCTTTACAAGTCAGGTAAGGTGGTTGATGGACATCCCATTTCAGGTTTCAGGTCATCTTGCAAAAGATAAATGGTGACTTAACCTAGGTACTCTGCTGTTTCTTCCCAAATGCTGACTGAACAGACTCATTTATGCATCTATACTAAATCCTCTCACAGACAGAATTCCAATCTAAAGCCAACAATTACCCTGAAACTACAGAAAGACTATTTCCTCTACTTTCAAATTTTCTGCCCCATCAGTAAATTTCAATAGCCAGTACCCGGGGAAATAGGATGCAGAATGCCTTGAAATGCAGATCACCTGTCAATGCCAAAAGCAAAGGCAAAGTACCACATTCCAACTGGCACAGTGAAGTCCCAAATCCAGATCTTATCACTGATTAGCAGAATGTACAGAAAGCAGAAAGAGCAGAAGCTCTGAACAGATCCTCTTAGCTCAGTTTCTGCACTCAGGTAATTTTCAAGACATGCAGCTGAATTGTGTCAGCTTGCAGTTCACCACAAACCACTTTGAGCTGTCTACAGAAATGAACTCAAGTGTTGGTTCAATGAGCTCCCTGCAGGAAATCCATTTAAAACAAGGAGGTAGCTACTCTGAACTGGCCAAGATCTCCAGGAAAGCTTTAGGTACAACTCAAAATGAAGTGTGTTACAGCCACTCAACCCCTGCTGATGAAACCAGGGACAACTTTAGGGCAATTAACATTTTTCAGGAGGAGGTCACAGTCATCCTGCCAGGAACAGCTGGTGAGTTTTCCCAGCTTCTGCTTCTGCAGGTGATGGCTCTACAAGACACGAACTAGAGACCTTAGCAATGAAAAGGTAAGGGGAAAAAATCTTTTAAAATTAAAAGGCTGTACTTTCCACCACCCCTCCTACATGTTTCCCACGTAAGCATATCACGGAACAGGCCCCAAGCCACCAGCTTTGACTTTACCTATTTTCACTACATACTGGAAAAAAAAAAAACCACCTGTAAACACAAAACATCTTTCTACAGGCTTCAAATGCTTAAGCACATCAGGCAGTCTACCTGCCTACTGAATGGGACAGGCAGCAGGATTTCTGAAGACCTGAGCTTCATGAAGTGAGGAAAAACAACAACCACACTATGGCAGCAAATATGCTGAATGCTAACATTAATGCTAATAATTATTGTGTCTAAAATAATGACCTTATGGATAATACTAATACAGATCTTGCCAAAAGCTACCAGACACATCTGAACTTCCATCTTTTGTCACAAGCAGCTCATACAAGAGAAGCAGCCCAGCCTCCACCATAACATAACCAAATCTGGAACAAGATTGACAGGGAAGTACAAGTTAATTTGAGGACTTCACAATCTTTCTGTATGCCTGCCCAGAGGTTGGAGACACCATGCTAATTTTCCAGGATCTGCAGGACACAACAAAGCGCTTCAGCTCAGATCTACCTAAAGGTCCCAGCACCTGGCCCCCATGAAGACCCAGCCACCTCCTCTAGAGACCTTGCAAAGCCTGTCTGCTAGACTTCACCAGGATGGCATGATACAAACCCATCACATTTTCCAGCTTCTCCAAGCTCCTTTTGTATTTCTAGGACCTCAGTACAATACCAAGCAGAACTAGAGGACTCCTTATCCACCTCCTCCAGAAACAGCTCCTCTGCCATGGCCAGATAGCAAGCTATCCTCATTTTAAATGGCTTAGTTCCTCCTTTAAATGGCTTAGCATCTGCCAGGCATCAGAAACCTGCGTCTGTGTCATTACACTGTGCTCACCCTTAACACTAGCCACCTTACTATTTCTCCTCTTCACTTTTCACCAAGCAACAATGAAGCAAACTTCCCAGTCTACAGTGCAGCCACAGCACATCTCAACTGTGCAAGAAAAAAAAAATTAAAAACCACCTTCAACTCTGATCACACACAGACCTCAATGTCCAGCTTTCTCCTGTCTTCACTCATCTGTGTGATCCAGGCTATATGTGCATGAAGGTTTACACTGAGGATTAAAAAAAAAAAAAAAAAAAAAAAGGAAAAACTAGTATTCTCAAACTACAGGACTACAGGGGGAAGGAAGGCAGCAAGACCTCCTGGAAGTTAAAATGCAGAAATGCAGTTCCCAACAGTCTACCTATGAGAAGATAAAAATTCCCTTCCTCCTAACGCTATCCTGAATATGGGGCAGGTGCTTATCTTTGTTGGAAAGCCCCTCTCTTGTGTCACACAAGTCTCAAGAGCCTGAGCTGACAGCTACTGCATAATCTGCATGGCCATCCAGCCCCAAGTGCTATCAGCACCATCCAGAAGCTCAGCTGGCAGTCTGGAGAAGCCTTTTAAAAGCCCAAAGAGGAACACAATTCCCACTCCAAGCCTGTCTCAGACTTTCACACAAAGTGTGTGTCTTCAGACAAACCCTGCTTTGAAGTAGGTGACTCTGTACATCTAATTTGCGCACAGCCCATGGGCTCATTAATGACACACTGCAGTGCCGCCTATCTCTGATGAATATATGTAAGATCAAGGTCTTCATCAGCTTTCAAAAACAACAGAACAATTAACCTTATTAGCCCCTGAGCTGCACTGAAGAACAGAAACTGAAGACAAGCCCCTACTACTTGGGAAAAGAAAAAAATAACACCTTACAGACCTGAGCAGAGCCTTTTAATGAAAACTCAGCCAGCAGTTCTGTATTTGTCCAGTGCCTAAAACAACTGTGATACAGTAAACACTGTTGTATCTTTCTCTAAACTTCAAGCACCTGAAACAATGTCACAGTAAAGTGAAACAAGAAGTTATTGTAATCTCCTTAGAATATGCAACCAAACTGAAACATTCACAAGGTGTTCCTCTAAGGAAACGTCTTGCTCATCTCCTACATGTGACACACAGCAACAGCAGAAAACCCATCACATCAAGCACTGCACTGACACCAAAATACAGTTTGGTACACACTGACTTTGATGACTTGCTGTCACTTTCAGCTGTGATAACAAGAACTAAAACCTAACCTTCATTACATCATTTTAAGGTAGTCCCTCCCTCCGAAATGAAGGGGCCAAAGGGAAGTGCTCTGCAGGTACCCAACCCGCCTGCCCCTGTCTTCAGATGCTCCCAGTAACCACCTACATGGTTTCTGACAGACAGAAACACACAACTATGACTCTCTGATACCTCTTTTAAGTGGTGGAGGCCATGAACAACAATTGCCATTTGTGTTTCTTTCCTACACTCGTATGTGTATGTTTAAAACATAACTAACTGCCCTTCAGCTTTGCACTGAAGTGCTACAACCTGGCTGGAAATATCTGGACCTTTTTCAGCCTTTAGTGGTGAATGGCTTGGGTGTCAAGTCTCACATAAAGGAGCTTTTCTCTCAAGTATTTTACTTGAGTATGTATTAACAAGTTGCAAACAAACATGCAAAACCACAAAATTATAAGGGACCTAAAAAAACCACAACTGCTCTAATCAAGTCTCTCACACTCAAGATTTTCCATGTCAAAATCCCACTGGTTTTCAAAGAAAAATCCAGCTGCCCTCCCAGGGACATTTGCTACGAAAGGGAGGTTAAGAGCAAGGAGAAGGAGAGCAAGGGCAGTGGGTGCTCCATGGTTACTCCACGCTTCACACCACCTTCAACAAGAAAGAAGAAATGGGCACAAGGGAATACAGCCACCGCATCCGACTGGGAAAAACCAGCTGGTCTCAGAGCTAAAAAGGGAATCCAGGAAGAAACATTGAAATGCTGGAGGAAGCAGCAGACCAGTGGAAGACAGTCAGCAGGCTAGATACAGCCAGCTCCCCCTCAGCCCCAGCACACGAGCCCACGCCCCATGCACACCGTCACCAACTGCGGCGCTCCGGGCACCCCTCGGGCTCGGCTGCAGAGCAAGAGCAGTAGGTGAGCCATCCCCAAACAGCTCTGCAGCCTTCAGAGGAAGCCAGAATCAAAAGCCCACAAGCTCGAGGGGAGGAGAAAAAAGGAAAAGCACAAATATGTATAAGAGGGAAGCTGGGAGGGGGCACACGAGAAGCACAAACAATGAAAGGGAAGCAAGAGGAAACAGAAGGTAGAACAACCAAGCGGGGTGGAGGCACGGGGGCCCTGGGCGGCTGCGCTCCAGCATGCAAATTCATGCAGTTCACGTAGACAAAGCGATGCTGTGAAAGGCCTAGAAAGCAACTACAAATATTAAAATGCTTTGTATCCCCTCCCTCACCCCTTAACGTGATGTCTTTATTCGCTACATGCTCCTGGAACAAAAGCATGCGCAGGCAACCGGATGGCTGAATGGGTTACCAATCCACCCAACTTTCATCCTCAAATTCTGCAGGCAGCAAGGAATGCTCAAAACTGCTCTGTCACAGGCATGCAGTTGATGATGCATGGAAAATAAGATAATAGTGTAAAGCCATGACAGAAAGAGAAAAACATCCATCAGACAGCATTGGTAACCCGCCAGAAACAGGCTAAAGGGCTGGCAGACAGGGCAACCTAATCCATTTTCCTGCTGAGAGCAGTTGGAGGGAGGTGCTTTGGCAGAGGAATATGCACAGCTCCTTCGCTGGATTTTTCACTTCTGCAGGTGAAATCCTCATTGGTGCCACACTCCCTCCAAAAAGAGGCAGGAAAAACAACATAATCAAAGCGCCAGAACAATCCTCTTCCCAAAGTCTTCATCAAGACCCATTTTCAAACATGGGAATGAAGCAACTCTTGGATATTCCCTACCAAACAACATTTATTAACCACTCAAAAGCAAGGAGGTTCTCCCTGTCACTACACCCTCACTATCACATCACCACTGCTGTGATACATGAACACTGGGCAACAATCCTCATCAAGAGTTTAACCAAAAAATTCTG